AGAACTTATATCCAAACCTACTTGAGGAGCATAAACACTTATAATATTAACAATCTTATCATCAACAACAATCTTTAAAGTTATAATTCTATCTCCAATCCTATTGATTTTTATAATATTATCCTTTAAACTCTTATCTATAATAACACTTATACCATTTCTAGTACAACTCCTACCCGAATACCAAAGTTTAAATCCTAAACTATCAATTTCCTTAGCGTTCTCTCTAACCAATTTAGTTTCCTGAATGCACAAAATATTTTACTTCCTATGAATCATAATATCTATTAATTCTATTAATTTTCCTGTAAGAGAATCTATATTCCAAGTTCCTATCATAATTTTAGTTTCATAGACTAGCTTCTTTGCCCACATCCGCCCGTGATGTGGGAACCATGCCTATTTAACACTGTACCCGGGCACCGGCCCTTGCACACTTGTCACTATATTCAGGCCATACAGCGCGTCGCTTCCAGGGAACGCCCTAGCATTAATACAATTTTTTAAAGGATTCATGTCCTTATTGTTCGACGAGTTTTACGCTGGCTGTCGACTACCTAACGCAACCCTCCACTTTTCTCATCCAGGACTTGGGACTTGGCAACAGCAGTGTTTATTAAAGTAATGCATACATTGCGAATGTTAAAGAAATGCATACAAAGATTAGGTAAAGTAATCCACACAGGGCAAATAGGATATTCCGAATTTATATCTAAATCCGATGACCACTCAGCAATCTCATATGATAGTTTCTCTCATAATAAGATCTCAAAAAAATTCTCGACTAATCAAGTTCATTAGACAGATTAATAAAGACATGACAAGGATCCATAAGGCTAACAGTAAATGACCCTGAACGCTTTAAACTATGAAAGAAACTCCTAATTTCTTCCATAAACGATCTTTTAAAAGAAAACTTACCAACCAAAGCATACTTAAAAGGCTCAGCAGGCTTTATAATATCCTCATCATAAACAAAAATAGCAGTTAAACCATTAAAAGAAGAAGTACTAATATTAATAGACGAACTAGCACTACCAGAAGAGCCAGATAGAGCCTCTTTGAAAGATTTAGGAAGAGATTTCCTAACTCGATCATTAAGGTTAGGATCACTTCTTACAGATTTCTTAAGCATACCATCTTCATCCGCTCTAGAATGAGCCATATTCTTGTTATCCGTCTCATTTGACAATCCTTGAACCGAATTCTTAAAGACCCGAGAAGGATCCTTGAAATGATCCAAATTCATCAAACCCTAGACGGGCTTGATCATGGTAAGAACCCACCAGAAAGACAAAGAAAGAAGAAAAGAATAAGCAAAAAGCAAATATCAACAAAAAATCCAAAGAACATGACAGATCTTCCACAAAAACGAGCACCAGAACCAGAATCGCCTTCAAATCGCCAGAGGAACGCTCGAACGTCGGTTTCACCAAACAAATCGCGGACTTCAAAATGAAATGAATGTTTTTAACATGTCTTAGACTTAGACTTTTATTAATGTATTACACTATTATTCATTTTGATATTGTTCAAAAATAGTTAGGAAAGAGGAAGTTAATTGATATTGAGGAAGGAGCTGATTGGGAGACATTGGACTCTATAGGAGAGGAGGAGGGGAGAGAGTAGTTCATCATGATGATGATTCAAATGAAGATCCCCTTAGTGATGACAGTGCTGATGACTTATGAGTTCTTATGTGATATGTCATTGCTATTTATTTTTGGAATTCTATGTTAATGACAAAAAATATTGTGATTTGGGAAAGATAGAGTTTGAGTTGAACTATATTTCATGTTGTCATATTATTGGGATATTTTGATTTACTTCATATATTGTGTTTTTTTATGTTTTATATATTATTTACTCATTAGTATATAAAAATTTATCATTTTATGTTTACGCAATCTTTTGATTTTGAGGCTTATGTCTCAAAATGCCTTGAGGCTTACGCCTCGCCTCATGAACGAAAAACGCCTCAATTTCCGATTACGCAATTTTAAACATTGAGTGTACGCAACGCTTACATTTTGTTAAGCTTTGATATATAAATTATATAAGAAGTATGCTGATCCATGCTAAACCATGCTTTGAGTTATGACATGCTATTTTGTGCTGTTGATATGTATGCTGATATGAGCTTTGCAATGTCTTATTATCAACAAATATTAGTTATTTAATTTGCTGAGATCTTCAAAATAATAAATTGTGAATTTCATTTGTGGTCTTTTTTATGACACTTAGATTTCAACCAAATCTATCAACATCTTGATATCAAGATATCTTAGAAGTAAAATGGATGGATGCAAAAAGAAAGATTATAGTATCATTGATCTTTGTAGATAATATTATATTATTGAGTAATGTAACATTGCGCCAAATATACTGCATTTGATATATAATATTTCTATATGAGTAAAATGTTTTTTGAATAACTTTTAACCGAACAATCATATAAACATCAATGAAATCCTAAGATACAGGGAATAATGTAAATTAAGAAATAAACAATATATTATAGGCCTCTACATTTATTACGGCTAGTAATATTAGTATAAGTATTTTTTATGATGATTGGTGAAGTATTTACTTGAAGGCACCATATGATGGTAGCAAGGGATATATACATATCATGCATATAATTCTCATGACTAATTATACATATGATCATAATTCTTAATTTTTTTTTTAATTTAAAATTTTAATGAGTTGTATTATAGTGTTTCTATGATTATAATGAGTCATATTGCAATTGTGAGTATCATTCTAATCATCATCAATTATATACATACTATTAATCATCTTCAAGGCATACTAATGTAATATTGAATTGATCCAACACCACACAATTATATTGTGATGACATTAATTTGAGAATGATGATGCTGCGGAGTGTTGTAAAATCATTAATATTATATGCATATAGGGCTATTTATATGTAGAATGTTTCATGCATAAATCAAAGAGGAGACATTAAACAAGACCAACTGGGAATTATTCCTGTGTAATCATGACTCCAACGCTAATTAGGTTTTTTCACAAGCAAAGCTTCCTCACATTCCTTCGGTTGCTAGTAGGAAGAAACATGCGCTCTAATAGCAATTAATGTGGAATTATATTTTTTGAGCCGTTGGCTTGTGAGGCGATTTACTACTTACCTGAAGTGTCAAACGTCAATGTTGTAGCGAATCAAATTAGGAAGAAGCAAAACTTTTGATCAGTTAATTTCAATGTTAATTTAGAGGGAGAAAAACTCAATAATGGGAAGGGTTTAGAAGAGTTTTGGGTTCAATTCAAACATGAGTTAGAGCTGAATTGATCTAGAATTGAATATCTAATACATTACATCTTTATTTATGAGAAAGTAAAATAAGCAAATGATAAGAAAAAATTGATAAGATCTTGAACCTCAGGTATCATATTGACATCTTATCAAAAAGTGGATAATTCCTAGCTAAAATTCATAATAAGCCATGAGTTTTACTTGAAAATCAATTTGTCTATACATGGTTTGATTTGTGAAGTTAGGTTTGACTCATTCAAAATCTCATGGAAACTTGATTACATATTCAAAATTCGGTCTCCTTGACAAGTTGTCTGGAAAGCATATTTCAACTCATCATTTTGGACCTATTTAGCATGACTTAAGACCTAACTAGATAATATAGATCACCTTCCTAATTTTAAGCTTTTTTTTATTCCGTTGACATTAATATGACATATTCATACTATCTATTTATGAAGTTGCTTAATAATTTTCAGGAGGGTTGAATTAGGGTTTGGAGAGCCTCCTGGATCAGAATATTGATGCATCTAATCATTATCAATATTCATATGATGATCAAGAATCATAAAAAATGTGGATGCGATCAGTATATAATCTTATGATCGTTTTATCAATTTCAATCCCAAGTCATCTTATCATGATGATATATCATATTATATAGAGGATCTAAATTTTATATTAATTCTAGAAGTTTAGAAATTTTTGTTTATCATAGTTTAAAATTACACAATATGAGGCACGCATCAGCACAATTTTTACATAAAATGGCTAGAGGTGCACATCTTGAGCTTTTATTTTGAAGCCTGTGCCTTTGAGGCGCGCCTCTCCTCACTGGATTGAGGTGCCTCTATGAACTTATTTTTGTAACTAAACGTTTAAAACTATTCAATTAACCTAAATACTCTAGTTGAACATTTTGTTCACGCATCCGACCTAGCAACTCATCAACTTCCATGACCTCCAACCCTCCATCAGCCTTCCGTTGTAGCAGCCTCCACCAATGATCACCTAGGAGTTGCATGCCACCATCCCCTCCTTTAAGAAATTTATTTCCTCAAGTATTCTTCATTCCATTAGAAATTTTGTTATTGAAAATTTTGACCCTTTTTTTTTATTTCTAAACCTTATATTATTTGGTAAATTTGATTTGAAACTTTGACTGAATTTAGTTTATATTTTGTTTAAATTTTTTTTGAAAAGCCTAAATTTTTTTCTTAACCCAATTTTTTGTTTGGAACCCTGTAGTTATTTCTTTTTGTTTCCTTTGCTTTTAATGAATTAATTGCTCTTTTTTTTTTTTTAAAAAAAAAAAGAGCCCCTGCTGTTTGTTGGTTGCTTTTCTTATCATGAAACGGATAGAAAGTAGGAACCAAACGAAACTTTTAATTTGTTTATTTGCATGAAGTAATTTTAACCGTTAGCCCCATTTTCATTTTTACTTCCTATTCATTTGAATCATGATCGTTTGACTTCCAATTATTTTCAGCACTCAATCCAGAAAAATGGTTGGAATTTAAGCTTCAAGAAACTGCCAGGGTCAGCCATAACACCAATTTATACAGGTAAGATAATAGTGGCCCTCCATTAATTCATCAATAGGCATTGGTGATGGTATTATTATAAATTGTATTGAATATTTATATACATTAATACCTTATAACTCCCTACGCTACCTTGGCATGTCTTATAAGCACATTTGACACATCTTCAATTTATACTATTCGCGTCATGTAGTTTCCCTGTGAATGACAGTTCAGATCTTTCAGCCGTTCTTCTTGGAGACTCCTGTAGTCGTCATGCTGTAATCCTGTTTTATTGCTGTTTCAATTTTTATTTTAACTGTTTGGCGCTTTTCAATATCCTTCAGGTTCTCTTTTGATCCAACAGCCAAATTGGGCCTTGATGTTGCTTCGTGTATTATCACAAGGTATGGTTTTTGAATAACCTTTTTTTTGTTTATGGGTTCTATGGTGGCATTCTCAATTGTATTACAATATCTCTACATAAAGGTTCCATGCCGTTAGTCTTCTGTTTTCTTAATTAGTAAACAAACCCCTTGAAACTTTTTGTTAAAAACTTCTTGGATTTTCGTTATACTGAGCTGTGCGTGTGCTGAGAAGGATTTTAAAGATATTGATGGACATTATTTAATTCCTTCCACTGAAACTACAAATTTCAAACTTATTTGAACTTTTTAGTGCTTGTCCCTTTAAACAGTACGTAAATGAGTATTTTTTTTTTGTAGTCTGCACTTTTGATTTTCTTTAGCCAGTTGTTCATTTCAGGGCTGCTATTGGAGAGGAATCAGAGGGAAGACAAAAATATGTAATTCGACCGTAAGTTCCTGCTATTAAGGCACAATTTACTTGTTTTGAGGCATAAAGTTTTGGTGTTTTATTCTTGACTTGTTATTTTTTTCTAGTGAAAATTCAGGTTTAATTTTTAAGAACAATCCACCTCAAGAGATTATTTGGGTTGATCACATGATGTTTATGTTTGAATAGACCACGGATACTTTTAAGGGAAGCTCTACTGGTCTGTGTTTGGTGATGGGGATGTTAGGCTGTGATATGTGATTCCAACCCTATACTGCATCTTTAGTTGCTTGGGACACTTTTCTTGAACAATTCCATATGCATTTGATGTGGACGCACCTTTCTTAAACAATTTCATATCATCAAATGCTTCATGTACCACAAATAGTTAGCATTCTACAAATCACATAGCCAGAGTTTCCTAACTTATGTGGCAGGAGTTAGCTTTTCATGATGTGTTGTATGACTTTAAACCCCTGGGATATCTTGTTTCTTCAACTAGCAATTGGTATTTTACACTATGGAACCCTTTTCCCCGATTTGCATTATAAAATATATACACCTTTTTTATTTGTGGGCTTCGACAATTCGCTCACTGGCCTCTCCGTGGCCTCTTACTTTCTTTCAGGTCGTTGAGGAGAGTTTTAACGAATATGTTCTGAGTCAAATTTCCAGAAGTTAGATTGGATTTTGAATAAGATATTATGCATAGATTTTGCCCTCACTTTGTGAGGACTTTATGATATGAGTTTAAATTTCCTATAAGTGCAAGCCCCTATAGTTAATTACTCCTCCCAATAATGATAGAGAACTTTCTATTAAGGCTAGTCGTCAAACAGATACAAAGTATTTGGCCTATAGTAGCAACATGTTTAGGTATTTGAAATTTAATATTTAAAATAAAAAATTCACCACCTTGCACTTAAAATAGATGCTGGGGATGATGATGAGCTCGATCAATATTCCATGGTTCCGTCGTCTCGAGCCATTGTGGTCCATGGTCTACTTAGCTAGAGGAGGTAGTCGACCCAATCTGACTGAAGGATCCATGTCGGTAGGCATGAGTTACTTCGTCCAAGGGTACCCGCTTTCATTTGCGAACTAACTGATGTTGATTGAAGGGATGCTACAGCGTTGGTCACTATCCATCATATGTTACTCATGGGTATGTCATCCATGATTGAGATGAATTATTTGTATTTAAATTATGTTCTCCCCTCAATTCAATTAATTGTCGTCTGTTGATGTCTATTTGCAAGCAAGTGGTGTTTGAAATTTTGTCCATCATGAGTCTCCTGATTATCCATTAATGTTCATTGGAATGTGGCTTGAGTCACATTTTAGCATTTGTATTTTTAATTTGATTGTGCATTTTAAATTTTAAAGTTCGGTTCCTTGCGATTTAGTTCAAATTATGTTCCGTTCATTCGTTTAAGTCCACTGTGATATTCTTCAAGTCATGTCCTTTGTTCTTTGAATTTTGGCAGCCTCCCGGCATCTCCCCTACTTAGGGGAAATTTTGGGAGTCTTGGCCATCCCACTACACTAGAAAAAGTGTGTGTGGTAGGTGTCAGGTGACACTGTAGCCGTAATCTTTAATCCCACCACGCTAAGAAAAACATATATGAGTCTTCGAGGTATCTATTTGAAATGCACAAATTTTTCATGCAGGCATGATGGCATATACATGGGTACCTAGGAGTGTCATCGCCAAGCTAAAAAAAGCGTATATAAGGCCTACCCACCTCGCCGCAAGCTTCACACTTAGTTCCCTCCCACTATGCTAAGAAAAACGTGTATAGGTGATTTTTCGGTGAGGTGCGAGTGCCGAAAGAGAGATTTGAGTTTGAAATATTATTCTTGAGCGACAAGGTGATGGGGGTGTTGGTGTGATGGTGATTGTAACAATTCTTTCCTCTTTTTTTTTTATTCTCTCCTCTCTAATACATCACTTTTCTTATTTGCAGTGAAGAGCCACTAATACCCAAAATTTAAATTACCTGATGTCATTTGCACGTCGCCTTCTGTACAAAAAATCTTCTCTTTCAACCATTTTTAAATCACTGAAGACTTACCTGAAACATTTAAATTCATGGTTTAGAGTTTACTAAGTAAACTCAGTGGATAATCGTTTAACAATTAACATATAATTTACAGTATAATTAATTTCTTTTATATGTCCATTCATTTAACAAATGACATACTTTTCTTTAATTTCTATTCATTTTATTTCATACAATCTTTTATACACATTATAACATCTTCATTTACATATTTAAAAGATTTACTTTAATATACATTCCTTTTCCATTTAATTGTACAGGAGCACCGCCTAAATATATCCCAAGGTATATCCATTTTCATTTACATCATTTCCTTTTTATAGTGTACGGGTACATTACTTCCCCAGCCAGTACCATATGGGGTGACTCCTGTATTTTTCATGTATATCATTTTTCCTTTTGTTTCATTTGATATTCCTTTTCCCTTCATTTCATTTGATATTATATCATTTTCCTTAACATTTGTATCTGCATTTTTATACATATATACGTATCATATATACATTTCAACTTTACCTTCCATTTTCTTTACATATATTTTCTTTCACATATTCATAAACTTTCATATGCATAAAGTATTTCATCAATTTGAGTTATACAATTTCTATATCACTTAATGTATTAGAATTTTCCCTTGTCTCTTCTATAATAGTCTTCAAAAGAAAACATGTATAAAATATAAACAATTGTAGGAATTATAAATTTCAGATTTGAAACGAAGATAAATAGTATAATTTTACACAAGTATAATTACCCAATTTATTTCTTTCAAATCCTCGATCCTTGGAGAAACCTCAACTTCGAATTTCCTCGCTGAATCGAATTTCTACAACTTTCAATCTCTCTTTCATCCTTAAATTCATATAATATGAATTTTCATAAAAATTTGCTTTAATAATAAAATCTAACTAAAATTTTTATAAAAGGAAAGTCACTTACAAAGAAAATGGGGTTTTGTCAAAATCTCTAAATTCTTCTCTCCCAAAATCTTTCCTTCTCGCTTTCAGACTCTTTCTTTTCCCTTGACAAAATGTTATTTACTATATGTAAAACAAAGCATGAGAATGTATACAAAATTGCAAGGAAGGAAAACACAACCTTGTCTCCTCAACCATTCCTCTCTTCCACCGTCGTTTCACCCAAATTAGCACTTTGTTTTTGATAAAAATGAAGATGAATGGTTTAATCTTACCTTACAACACAATCGATTCTAAAATTGGGAAAACGAATTTACCTCACTCTCTCTCGAAGCTCTCGGTTGTCCGCCTGCTTCTGTTTGCGAAAAACTTCCGCCCTATTCTGTTCGCAGAAGTCGTGCCCCCCTTATTAAATAACTGGCCGGTTCAATTGAACCGACCAGGTCTGGTTCTTACAATCTCTCCTCCTAAAAAAAATTTCGTCATCGAAATTAATCAAGTATAAAGAAACATACCTTAGTTAAAAAGATGAGCATATTGACTTTTCATTTCAACTTCCTTCTCCTAGGTGACATCTCTTTCTGATCCATGCTTCCATAAAATCTTTAAAAAAAGAATTGCCTTATGCCTCAACTGTTTTACATTAGAATCCAATATTCGTTCAGGTTCCTCAACATACTTCAAATCAGACTGCAAGTTAATTGATTTATACTGTATTCTTTTGGAATCATCTGAGACATACTTCCGAAGTACATATATATGAAATACATTATGAATTCCTTGCATATGTACTGGTTACTGGTAGATCCAATCTGTATGCCATATTCCCAATCCTTTTAATGATTTCATAAGGACCTATAAATCTTGGGCTTAATTTCCCGTCTTTCCAAATCTTTGAACACCTTTCATTGGGCTGACTTTTAAGAAAACAAACTTTCCTACTTCAAATTCCACTGATCGGTGCTTTGGATCATAATACTTCCGTTGTCTTTCTTGAACTGTCTTTAGTCTATCTTTGATCAATCTAATTTTGCTAGTAGCCTCATCTACCAGTTTAGTTCCAATTATCTTTCTTTCACCAGTTTCTACCCAACACAAGGGTGTTTTGCATTTTCTTCTATAAAGAGCCTCGTAGGGTGTCATTCTAATGCTAGCTTGAAAACTATTATTGTAAGTAAATTCAATCAACGGTATGTGAGTCTTCCAATTTCCTCCAAAATCTAAAACACATAATCTCAATAATTCCTCGAAAGTCTGAATTGTCCTTTCTGATTGCCCATCTGTTTGAGGATGAAATGCTGTATTGAAGGTCACTCGTGTGCCCATAGCTTCCTGAATTTTCTTCCACAATTTAGAAGTGAAACGAACAATAGATTTTGGAATTTCATACAATCTCACAATTTTATCAACATATAATTTTGCCAATTTCTCTGCTGAATCTGTCTGCCTGATTGGTAAGAAATGAGCTGACTTAATTAATCTATCAATGACAACCCATATTGCATCTCGACTCTGCCTTGACCTGTGTAATCCAATTACAAAATCCATTACAATGTCTTCCCATTTCCACTCAGGTATAGGTAAAGGTTGTAGTTGACCACTTGACTTTTGATATTCTGCTTTAATCATCTGACAGGGAATACATTTTGCTACAAATTCTGCAACATTTCTCTTTAGTCCTGGCCACCAAAATAACCCTATCAATTTTTGATACATCTTGGTACTTCTTGGATGAATTTCATAAATTGAGAGGTGAGCTTCTTTTAATATTTCTTCCCTTAAATTTCCAATATTAGGAACACAGATTATGCCCTTGTACTTTAATAATCCCTCTCCATCAACTTCAAAATTCTCTAATTGTTCTGCTTGCACTTTCTTTATGATGACTTGAAATTTTTCATCTTGAGGCAATGTATTGAGCACTCTATCTTTCAAAGTAGATTGGATTACTAGTTGATTTAAGAATATATCTTTAATCTCTTTCTGATTGACTACTAAAATCTTTAACTTTACCATATCCTTGACTATATGCTCCTGCTGG